CAAACAGCACATAAACCACCCCCAAAGCTCAGGAGGAAGGGAAGAGAAGGCTTTGCAGTAGACGCTGTAGTGCGAGGGATTAAATGCATTGGTCTCAAAATGCAGAGGCAAGCATCCTCAGAAGATCCCACCAGGCATAGGCTCCAGATCTGTTAAAGAGCTCTCGTACTGCTGCTAGATGTGTCAGTACAGAAAACTTCCTCCTGGCTTAACAGTCACGGACCTAAGGTGATTATCTGCTTCTGCCAGTTCCCAGTTGCAGCATTTCATGCAGACAGGTGTAACCCAAGCCAACTCTTACATGTTACTGCCAGTGCATTGCAAAAGTAAAAAGCTAGCAGCTCATTCAGGACAGTTACAGCCTGGTATTTAAACATGACTGTAGTTGTCCACCTTGTATCCCGCAACAGTTCTGTTTTGTCTATGGCGTAGGGGCACTCAAGCGTAGAGACACATACCTACATCTCTTGCTAGCTCTAACGGGAACAAAGTGCAGGCAGTGGGAAGAAAGTTGAACTCCAGTCCATACTGGTGTTTTGGTTGCAGAGAAGAGCCTGTGGTAGTGCAAGTACTGGAGAGTGGCAAACAAAACAGAAAAGAGCTAAGTTTCAGTGTAGTTTAGGAAGAAACCTGCAGCTCAGACGAGCTCCAGGTGGGTTCATTTTTGTTGCAAATGCTTTGCCCAGCCCTGTAAAGGAAGCCCTCTGTTCTGTGCATCCAACCAAGCACAAATGAAGCCACTTTAAAAGAGTGCCTAGGAAAAGAACCAGGATGTGTGACCTGGAGCACTGTCTGGTGCCCTCACCGGTGAAGTCTGTTGAAATTTCAGCCAATGAAGGGAAGAGACGGCCGTCCTTCCTTTATTCCAAACCAAGCCAGAAGACACGGGAGCTTGTGAAATGTAGCCACGTGCAAAGGTGTAGCGTGTCCAGGAAGGTTATGCCTTTAACTGGGTTCCCTTCCCGTGCAGATACGTCCTCTCCTGCATTGGGTCACACAGTAACCCTGTGCCAGGGCTGAGGGCCCGCGCCTGCACTCCTTGGCTCGCCAAGGCTACTGGTGGTGGGAAGCAGGGTCCCGCTGTGAAGACTGAGTGGCCCCTTTCCCATGTCCATTAGGAAAAGGTGCATCTTACATGCTGAAGACTGCAGTGTCCACAGCACACGGCAGACTGTCCACGCCACGTGGCCACGCGCCACCTTCTCTGCCATGTTGCTACCCTTTGCACTTCTGGCATCTGACTGCCAGTCTGTGCATAAAGAGCAGGCCCTTGCCGTGAAGGTGTTTACCCCCGTGCATGAAGAGCAGGTAGTTGCCCCTAGCTCGTGCTTTCTCATCCTAGCAGACAAGGCGCCTCTGTGTAAGACCTGAGCACCTGCCTCGGTACTTCTCTCTCTGCACAGGACCAAGCTTAACGTGTGCGTTTCGTTTGCAGGGAACGACTCCATTTTTCATGATATTGACAGCGATACCTCTTTAACTAGTTTGAGCGACTGTTTTCTTGCCTCCTCAGAAGTTAACTCCATGCAGGCTAGAGTAGGAAATCCCATTGACAGGCTGTACTCTATGCAGAGCTCATATTTCGCCTCATGAAAATAAAAGAAAAACAAGAGCCGGCATATCTTTAGCCAGTGACTTTTTCCAGTGCAGACTCTACAGCCATATGTCGTCCAGCTCTTCCTTCACAGTGACTCCGCTGCCTTTGGACTGCCAACAGCCTTTCTAGGAAGACTGTATATTAAACAAAGCGTTCAGCCACCACCCGCCCCTCGCCCTCACTTGCCCAGCTCGCACCAGGCCAAGAGGAAAGTGTGGAAAGAACGAAGACCCAGCTCTCCAGCCACCTTTGGTTTGGCTGGCTTTGAGCTCATCGTTTTAAAGGAAATGGATTTTGCCCAAAGCCAGACCTTTTCCCTCCTTTCTTTCTTCTTTTCTTTTGGATGTTTAAGCATTTTTTAGGAAGCCGCTGAAACCAACATCAGTCAACCATATGACAAATAAATCAAGGAAACTGGAGAGTCCTCCCTTTTCGTACTGCATGACTCATACATGTTGTGGACAAATTGCCATTTGAACTGTGAGAAGTTAATGTAAATGTGACGTTCAACATTTGTTTCCTTTCTACACTTTTTCTACATAACCCTAGGTCTGCTCATTAGTTTATAGCCCTTATACTGTATGATACGTAGAAAAACTGGTAACAATGAGACTTGTGGAGAAAGCCAGTGATTTCATAATAAAAAAGGTCTTTGACCCCAGAGAGAAGCTGCATGTTAGGGACAGGTCATTTAGACTAGTATTGATCTTAATTAATTAAAACAAAAGGTGCTTACAAGACACGGAGCTATATTTAATTTTTTTAAGTGTGAGAATAAAACAGTTACTTTTATTTGTAATTCAGTGCCAAATTTCAAGCCTAGACTGTGATTGGCAGCCACGTGTTGTTCATTTTGGTCTGTCTGTTTGTGTTTTGCACAAGACGTAAAACGTGCTACACTCCACTGTCCATCTGGACCAGTTTCGCTCTCCTTCAGTTCCTGTTCTGATTTGCCAAGACAAGCCCGTGTCCTGCAGTCCTAGCCCGAGCCCCGAGACTTGTCCCAGACTGTGAACAGGCGACAGACTGCAGGTGCATCAGGACGGGAGCCTGGTGCTGACCTCACATCCCCACGGTCCATGCTGGTGTAACTCCATAGGCTTTCCCGGTTATGCCAGACCTGTACTTGTGGTAGTGTAAGAGTGAAGTTGTAGCCCAACAAAAGCCATCACCCTCAGAGATCTGTGCTTACGCAGATGAGAGGAAATGAGACTTCCGCGTGCAGGGCTGCTGGGGAACAGTGCCACAGTCCGTGCTGAAGTCTGAGTTGCCACCAGAGGTCATTTTTACAGAGCAGAAACTATCTTAAATACTAATAAAAGTAACAATGATAACGTAGTTCTAAAAATCACATGGTGATGAGTATAATGTGGAGCGACAGGCAGGTATAGTCAGGGCTCAGAGTGGAGAGCGCTTCATGGGGAAAAATTTGCCAAGATAACATCCGTAATGACACGGGGGTGTTTAAAAGTGAAAGCATAGGGAAAGATTGGTAGACAGGCCCGTCAAATAAATGTTTTGCAAACACTGACCATGCCAGCCAAAAAACAGCTCAGTGCGCCAGTTAACTGAACTCCTTGAGTGTGACAGCTGGCGCAGACTCGGGGCTGCAAATTCTCACATGAGACTCAGCAAATGATGAAGAAAATGCTTAAGCGCTCAGCCGTATGGCATGGGGCCACGGCGCCAGCCGTGCCTGCCACTGTGCTGGTCCACAGGCAAACCCAGCACCCAGCCAAGTGTGTGACAGGGTCAGCCCGCTCCATTTAGCTAGGAGCGCCACATGCTCAGGAAAAGGCCGGGCTGTCGTTGGACTCTTCCCATGAAAAGTCCAGCACCTCCTTTTTTATCACCAAGAGTCACTTTCTGCACCCTGCGGGGTGGGCAGCAAGCAAAGCACGAAAGAACCAGATCAGCTAAACGAGAGCCGTGCTCCTCTCCTGTATGGAAAATGAGATCACACATCTGGGGCCCAGGCAAGAAAATGAGAAAGTGCCTGCCGTGGCAGGTGGTGGTTATTAACTACCACCGCCTCCCCCGACACCCAGCAGGCAGTCCCCGCCAGTCGAGGTCCGCGACCGAACAGACAGGTTTGTTAGCGCCAAACGTGGCCAGGCAAACCCAGAAAGAGGTGTGCAGTGGACTCTGTCCGGAAGAGAAAAGCTTGACTTTGCACCTTCAGGGCGTGAGGAAAGATCCCCGGGAAGAGAAGAGGGCAGCACTGCTAGCAAGCAGAAGACATTGGCACAGACCTCCTAGCAATACCTGGCGATCGCCCCGCACCTCAGCTTCTCACAGACGGGCACCATCTCACACTCTCCCTCTCACACAAGCAAAAAGCAGAGCAGATCTCGGCCCTTTTCCTGTTCTGCGGGCCGTCCTGAGGCCATCAAGGAGACAAAGCCCGAACTGCACGCTGCGGTGACCAGCTGCAGCTCGGGCGCATGCCTCTGCACAGCACTTTTCTTGTCGCCTTGGGAGGGGGGTTTTTTCCACCTGAAGCAGGCAGTGCATCGGAGCCCACTGGCTCCCTCCTGCCACCTGAGGGGGAGAAGCTTTGCTGGTTTTTTTCTTATCCAGCCACTGCCAATACTTCCCCTTTTATTGTACCAAAAAAAAAAAAAAGGACCTCTCCCCCCTCCCCACCTCACAATGGCTGGGTTGCTGTACACTTGCGCTGCGTGGTCACAGGACTTGGGGATGTTGGCACATTTTCACGTGACACACTTGTAAATACCAGGGTTATCCAGACCCCACTCCCAGCAATCAGCCCAGCGCTGCCTTTAGTGTCACAGAAGATGTGCCGTTACCGTCTCAAACCTGCCACGCAAAAGGACTCTATGGCGTGGCGGAAGCAAAAGGATGCCTTACTGCATTGGGATACCTGTCGTGGACTCGTTGCTCCTTTGCCACCCTTGGTTCTTAGCCGGCTGTTGCAGGGGGGGACGTTCACTTCCAAGCAGGAATCGGCAACCCTGCTTGAGTGCACAGCTGCTGCTGCCCACGCCCTGCCTATCCAGGGGTAAGCCTCATCGCCCCTGTCCCCTTGGGTGCTGCATGGCAGTGCTCTACTGACTGGTTCCCCCATGTTCTGCTCTGGCACCACATGCTGTTGCCAAGGCTAACTATACACCTAGTGCCAGTGTGAATTTGAGACAGCAAAGGGTAGAGGTGCACATCTGAAAGCAGGACCAGCCACTTCCAGCACGCCCAAGATAGCTCTCAAAGGCCAAAGTTCATTAAAGCAAAATAAATGTCACTATTATTTGTAGTATGAATTATCCCGCAGGAGCGTGATCATTGTGGTTTTAACCTGGGACCTGCAGTAAAAGATTATAAAGCAACCTCTGACCTTTTTGATTTCTGGTTTACTCTTGTATTGTCAAGGGAAATGTCACTGATCAGGCAAAGGTAAAATGTATCATGGGCTGCATCACAGTAATATCTTACAGCAAGTCAAACTGATAAACTCCTGCCAAAAACTCTTAGCATCTGGCAGTTCCACGGAAACCACAAATAGTGATTGCACATGTGGGAGTTGGAAGGCGAGAGGTCATGACAGCAGTTTATTACATGTACCGTACAGTGATCACTCTTGCTAGGAAATTAACCCCTCTCCAGTATAAATGCATCACATGAGCTCTTCATGGCATTTCAATCATGCTGTCTTGGCTAAGGACGGCATACGTGTCACACTAAACAACGACGAGATGCAATTAAGTACAAGATGATGGATAAGGTTTCAGTGCTCGCTCAGTAACATTCAGCAAAAGATGATCTAATATCAAAACAAATAAGCTCAATAACCACTTCCTCCAAGGTCTTTATCATGCAGATGGTTCAAAGTGACGGTAGCACTGTTTCCTGCCTTGCACTGTCCGAATCTATTCCCTGTGCTCAGTGACAGGTGCATGCTTTAAGCTAGTGACCAGCAAGTTTCCATTTCGTACTTTCAGTACTGATGGAAGTATTCCCCACCATGTGCTGATCCCACACGGCTCAGTAGGTCAGTAGGCAGAGAGAGAGAAATCCACAGTCCAGGCTATTAGAGGTACAGCATTAAATGAGTTTCACATCCGCCAAGTAAAAGATGACTGTTGCTGTGAGAAAATACGCTGGTTGCCAACTCTGAACTGAAACACAACCTAGAAGCCTTGTTGATGTTTCCTTCCTAAAGCGTCGTCACCAAGGATGCCCATTTGCTCGGGCCCAGGTGCTGCTAACCACACTGGGCACGTGGACAGCACAAGGCGTGCTAACCACAAGGTGTGACCCGCGTCACTCTTCAAGTGGCTGCTGGCTGGGTTTCAGGTTCAGGGAGCTCAGCGTGTAGCACTGAATAACGCCTCTCTGGCACCCTCTGCCCTGGTCTCTGCAGCGGTAGGGACCTGTTTGCAGGCAGTGGCTTCCAGAGGTGGTGTTGCTTCCCTCTGCCTTGCTTGGGCTGGATTCCTTCCCAGCTTTTCCTAGGGTCAAGCCCCATCCTTGACTGCCCTCAAGGCAGCATTTTCTCTCTGCTATAGTGGGGTGAGGGATGGGGCCCGTGCAGTTTGTTAGACCGCCATTTGTTTCGTGATGCCGTCTCGTAACCCCACGAGATTCCACAGAGAAAGCTCCAAACACAAGGCCTGATTCCCAGCCGCAACCAGGGAGCGGGGCTACCAGAGCCAGCATCAAAGCTGCAGGATTTGGAGCTACAAAGCTCTCAAGTGTTTAGATGCAGGACACCATATCCCTGGAGCCCAGCATGTCTGAGCTGACAGCCACTGCCTGTGGAAGTCCCCTGTTCCTACAACCTTCCCTCCTAGCCTCACCCGTGTGAACAGCACATCACAGCAACCTGAGCCACAGCATGTCAGGGTCTCCATTCAGCAAGGTACCTGGGCACGGGCTTCACACGAAGCACATACTTAAATCCCTTTGGCACGGTGTAAGTGCTTTGCAGACTCAGGTGGGATCAGTCTTGCTTGACTGGGGTCTTCCTGAATGATGTGGTAATGAGCTTATGCCTTCCCGAGGGTACAGTGTGACTCCTCTTGGTCATGCACAATATTATTTTGTTTAGCAGTGACTGTGAAGGGACTTCCAGATATTTTACATGAGGATCTCTGTTTTTAAGTGAACACCCTTTTTTAGCTGTGTATGGCTGTATTAATTGTATATTTATATATTCTGTATTTATGTTACCAAAATGTAGTATTTTGTAGCTGTCTGTTACAATTTGTTTAACTTGTAAAAAATATGAAAATGCTCTCTCATACTTAACCATCTGCCTGTCACAGTAGTTCCCTGCCTTCCCCTTCTCTGTTGGTAACAAGACACCATAATGTGTGTAGGTTGGATTTTTTTATTTAATTACTTGTCATTGTTAAATTATTTATTAGTGTTTTAAAATTTCATTTCACTGCATCTTCCCTGC